CTATACTGCCGTGTCCAATCACTGCGTATCTCACCATTTTGCGGAAGTATTTCTGTATAAAATATGCATTCCTACACCAATAATTCCGTGACCCAATGTTTTCGACTTAAAAAATCGCATTTTTCTATAGAAGTCTCCTTCGCATACCTCGTGCCATTTTGTATCGATTTTTTAGCGGTGTAATGTTTTTCCCGTGTAATAAAGCGTTTTTTAGACAGGTTGCTATGTGCAGCTTTTATTTTAGCTAATAAGACGCGTATCTGACTAAAACCGCGTTACGACGGTCGATCCACGCGCGTTGCCTTCGCTTCGACGCGCGCCCCCGATGGCCTTCCTTCGCGACGTCACGAGAAGAACTACTCCGTGGCGACTTGACTTTATCCAATATATGCCGCCATTTCCGAAAAAAGCTGATGCTCCTCCGATTACCCCTGGAACAATGCATACCAGATAAAATAAAGTAAAAAATAGGGTATGAAAGGGTATCATTAAAGATTATGTTAAAAAGTATTTGTATTGTGCTTTAAAATTATGCTGTATTTATATACTTTACTTCAAGACTTGTACATTGCACACGGTGTACTTACAATACTTGAATACATAATCTCTAATTGACTTTGTACTTTGGTTCAAGTACTTTTTAGATGTACTTTACGCAGCACTGTAAACAAGAAAACACTGTTTGCAAAATGAAGCTCAGACAGTGCTAAACCTCATAAGCAGGGTGTCGAACCGGAACCGAACCGAACCGAAAACCGGAACCGAACCGGTATTTTTTCCGGAACTGAACCCGAACCCGAACCGTTATATTGTTATCGCGATGAACCCGAACCGGAACTGAACCGGAAAAAAAATAACGGTTACCGGCTCATGTCAAAACGGTTCGGCCACGCGCTGTTGACAATGAATGTGCTATCAATGCCATTTGTTTTTTAAGTGCCGTCAACTGACACACACCTGGCTTACATATTTTTCTTCTCCACTCAGTCTTAGGAATATAAACGCTGCATCCATGAATCTTGACAAACGCTGCATCCATGAATCTTGACATAGGAACCAGTATTGCGCTGGTCGCGGCTTGCACGGAAGACAAAAAATTGGAAGGCTGTGCAAAAAAAAAAGAAAAGATCGCGTCATGGGATTTCATTTTCCTACAATCTCGTCAATCCTAAATGCTGCTGTGTGCTCATTTCGTAACACGTTTCTAGAACGCGCGAGTTCTTGAAGCTTGCTTCCATCGGAATGAGAAAAGAAAAGGCTGTGGAGTTTGATAATAATGCATCCGGTTTCGTATAGGCACTTAGATGCTAACATATTTGTGAGACAGCGAACTCTTCTATTTTAATATTTATCCTATTTCGTCCTTCTGGCGTTGCGTTCGGTGAAGTGTTTTTCATATTTCGTATCTTGTTTAATGACAACTTCTTTAAGGGTCTAATTTGAGTTACCAAAGGCTAGTTCAAATCAAGAAAGCTGTATTTTCTCCCCACTGTTCCTTCAATCGCTTACACGCCGAGGTGGCGGGATAGTTAGCGAGTTCTACTTGTAAGTGGGTTTGTAAGGAGGTCGCGGATTTTACAGCTACTGCGTCGGACCCAATTAGATGAAGTCCAAATGCGTAAACGTCGGTGAAGTAACCTTTGAGTGCACATAAAGAAAGCATTCCTGGTAGAAATCCCTGAGCCTTACACTACGATGTATCCCGTTTCGTATGTGCTGATTTCAGATGTTTTATTTGTAATTTATTTTGATGTTGCAATTTGTCATTTATAATTTCCGAACCGGTTCGCGGATTGAATTAATCGAACCGGAACTGAACCGGAACAAAATAAATTTACCTGAACCTGAACCGTAACCGAACCCGTATTTTTTTTCGGTTCGACACACTGCTCATAAGTATAAATGACACATCCGCAGTGCATCAGTGACCAGAAAACAGAAAGTACAAAACAATTAATCACGCAGAAGCGGAACCAGCTAATAAAGCATTGATGTGAAAACACAAGCTGCTTTATATTTGGCTAGCAGAATTTCGCTAACGATTCAAAACATCTATGTACTTTCTTGTAACTACAAAAAATATAAAAGTGACTTCAAAAGTAATTCGCTACTTTGTTACGGTAGCTAGTAATTTACTCCATTACTTTTCATTTGAGTAATTTCTACTCAAATTATTTTGAGGCCAATACTCAGTAACTTAACTTAATTAGGTTTTTCTGAGTAACTTGAACATGTCTGCTGCCAGAAACTGCGTCCGACAGACTTTGTAGTCCGTCAACATAGAGACCATGACCGGCTGGCGTGAAACACGAATTTTTCGAACACCACAGCCCTGCACAAGAAATGGCTCTGAAACGACGATTTGGCGAAGAAACGAAGCATTATGGATCTCGAAAACAAGGTCAACATTTTCATTGGGGAAGAGTTCACTTAAAAGAAAGGATCGTACATAGTTTTGCTATATATAGCCGTATCGGGCCTTTTTTTTTTTTTTTTTTTTCAGTTGGCGTCGATTTTTGGTGGTTGGCAATGTGGCTATTTTTGGATTTTTAGGGGGCTATTTCTAGACATGCGGCGAACTATTGTCGAACCCCAGGGTCAACGTCAAACTTTAAAATTCGACCAGTTAAGTTTCGAAAAAACAAAAATAATCTTTTGGCTAGTGAAGAAGAGAGAGGAAGGAGAAAGGTTTCAAACTTGTACAAACTTCGGGGTTTTCACAATGCGCAGAGAGGCAGTGCTTGCTGAGTTCAAGCGGTCTCTCCAAAGCTCACTGGAACAAACCAAACAAATTGATTTCACTGTTACCACAGGTCCGGTAGCGCGTCTTCTACTCGGACGTAAACTGAAGTCTCCAAACGCTGCTTTGAAGTCCATTGTGAGAATCCTTAGGCACCCAAGTTTCTGAGAAGTCCGCAGCTTGCACGCTTCCTGCTACTCGAGTAGAGAGGAAATATCAAAGCGTAGAAGAGGCGGAAAATAGACAGGACGACGTCTCAAACTCAGCTAACTTGTTTATTTAGTCCACCTCTTTATATAGCCTCAATCTCAAGGTCATCAGATGCATCTGATGACCTTGAGATTTAGACTATATGAAGGGGTGGACTAAATAAACGAGTTAGCTGAATTTGAAATGTCGTCCTGTATATTTTCTGTCACTTCTACGTTTTGATGTTTCCTCTCTACCCCAGTCTCAGGTTAATCCACCATGGTTAATATTCACCAGCTCGCCTGCACCCTTACGATATTTTTCTGAGAAAGGTTCCTCCATCGGGAGAGAAAAGATGGCCGTTTTCCTCCCTTCTTAGGGGAGCAACGAGCAAAAATAGTTGGCAACCTTCCTCCCTTCTTATGGGAGCAAATTTCCTTTCCGTTTTGTAGGGGCAGCTTTGCTCCCTTTTTAAAGGAACATAAGGGACACGCGAGTTCTCCTTTAAAAATTAAATACTAGTCCTTTTTTTTAGGGTATATATATAGGAGGCTATGAGAAAATCCACGGACTTTCTCCGCAGACTTGATGAGATAATTATCCTCGGACACACCTCAAGAACGTTGGGAGCACGTTTTCTTCATACGTTTGTATTGAGATCGAACACCTCTAGCTGAATGCTTCAGCTGTGGGGGCAACAAACCAAATTTTCTCGTTTGTTTTCGATCGGGGAAATAGAAGATGACCATCGAAGATCGCTCCTCGTGCGCCCAAAGCACTGGTCTTTGCACCAGCTGTGTATGGGCGCCTCCCTAACCGACCTTCAGTTTTTGTTTCCTCTCATTTTGATCACTTCGCTCCACCATTACCACAGCAGGACACGTTACTGCCATTTTAGTTTCGACTGTGTCGTTCTCCCCAACATTGGCTTTTGTGGAAACTCGTCAAAGGCCGCTTCGGTGGCTTAATATCTTGGGAACCCGAGAGAAGGTCGGCAGTGGCAGATGCATGTAATCTGGCGCGTGTGCAAAAGCGTCGATATGCAAGAGTTCAATTTCTTTGTCACTCTGTCTTAGTAAACACAAGACCGTGGGGACAACAAGTAAAGCCCCTTTATGTTTTAAAAGTAGCGCAAGGTGCGTCGATGCACGAGGCACGTGCAACGTGCAGCCCTTGAAAAGATCATGGCGGCACAGCGCAGCACTGAGCTAGAGTGTACTAGAAGGACCGAGTGGGACGAGCTACAGGCTCCGCTCATGCTTTCAGTTGCACCTCAAAATGTGGAAAGCGATCAGGTGGACCCAAGCCACTTCGATCGCAGCGCCACCTTCGTAAAGTGTACTAGAAAGGACTGAGTGAGACGACCGAAGCGTTTTTTCGGCGCCGTCGCTTGTGGAACGATCTTAACGTTGGAACGCAACGCGTTTTTCATAAAAACCGGCTAATCCGAACCGCTTCGCTCGTAGTGCCCGAGAGGGCGCTACGAGCAAAGTGGCTTGGATTAGCCGGTTTTTTCCACATGCGGAGGTACCTAAATAGCACTCCGGTCGCCCCACTCGCATGTTCTTCCCAGACGTGGGGCGCGGCACGTGTCTTGCGCATTTCCGCAACAATGAATGGCGCCACTTTCCCATGATAGAGGGGCTTTAACAATGAATTCGACAGAGTGCCCCCTATAGTCCAGTACCTCGCCCAGTGGCCTCAAAATGTCTGCGGACGGTTTCTGTATGACCAACCCAAGCTTCACGGATTTTGATGTGCCAGGCTGGCGATGGTCTTTTGGCCAATGGCCAAAGAGTGGCCATTCATCGGCCAATGTTTGGCCGATGGCCGATATCCAGTAATTGTTGGCCAATAGCCAGAGGGGCTGGCCACTGTCTCGCGATTGGCCATAGGACCATTGCCAGACGTTGGCCAATGATTGGCCAAAGCTGTGCTGCTTGGGATTGTGTGCAGAGACAAGGAAGAAACGCGTCTTAAGTGGGGTTGTGTCTGCATGCTGTCTCTCGTATGCCTACACTGTCTATCGCAACCGTGCGTGTTTTGACTCGCTCGTCCTCCGGAACCGCAGTGAGCCGTGAGAAGGCGTACGTGTACGGCGTGTCGGCGGCCGGCGTGGCGTACAGCATCACCCGGGCGTGCAGCAAGGGCGAGCTCAACGAGTGCGGCTGCGACAACGCCATCCGGCAGCGCAAGCCCCGGGGCTCCTGGGAGTGGGGAGGCTGCTCGGACGACATCGGCTTCGGCGCCCAGTTCAGCAGGAAGTTCGTCGACGCCGGAGAGGACGCCGCCACGGCGCAGGGCCTCATGAACCTGCACAACAACGAGGCGGGCAGAAGGGTACGCAACTTGAAAGCGATACGACGATGCTTTGTGCCCTATCTTGATGGATGTATGGATGGTAATGGCGATATCCTTTGTAACGAGCGCTAGCTTGCGCCACCTAGTCTAAGTCTAAAAAAACAAACATGAAATTCCTCCAGCCCTTCTAAGCCAAATTTCTGCCCTTAACTATCACCAGGCAATGTGGGAGATCACCAGGATGACTCTTGAGGGATCGGGCAAAAAAACCGAAAAGCCATTACTTCTTCCCCCCGCCATGGGAGTCGTTTGTTTCTATACCCGTTTTGACCTAAAAAAAAAAAAGTTAGCTTTGCGCATTGTTCATACTCGGCGTGAAGTAGTTCTTACGAGATTTGGTTGTTAAAGTAGCTCTTCTTTTTTTTTTTACGTTTCAATTTATTATAGTGGCTGATTTGTTTGCCATGTCCAGAAGACAGATGAACCCTGTTGAAGTAAATACCCGTTTTTTAGGCTAAACTTTCGGGGACAAACGGTAAATCGCATTTTGTCTCGTTATCATGAACAACTCACATTATAGATGATTTTTTTTTTGGCCGAGGGAAAGGGGGGGGGGGGGGGGTTGCGGATGTGTTCATATTAGCGAGAGACGACTTTTCCTATAGTCTCTACCCTAAAGACATTAGTGACATGCCTTGTAAGCTGTCTAAAGCTCCAGTCGTGCTGCTCGTGAATCATACGAAGAACACGATATTCGCTGAAGACATGATGACATCCGCGGACATGTTTCAATCATGTTTCAAGCGTGTTTGCTTAATACATACGCACGCTTCAAACGATATCCGCAGTCTGTCGTTTGCGTGAGCGCCGCTTGAAGAGACGCTTGACGTGCCTTCTAAACCGTCTAAACGGGGAATTATCTCGGTTGGTAATGGAGCAATCCAAAAGCGCTCCGGACTCCAGGCCTTTAAAGGGGTACTCCACAGGTTTTTTCATTGTCTCCGATTTGCTTGAAATTTTGCTAAACTAACCAACAAACATCGCGAAAATAGTATCCCAAATATCAAAATATTGTTTTTTCGCGAAGTTATCGAATTTACAGTTTTGGTCCTCACCGTGTTTTTCAAGCTCGAAGTCTCTACTGGCAACAATGAAAAAGTAACGTCAGTGGAAGGCAAGGGTTCACTCTTTGGGGTGTAGATTTTGTTTTAAACTAATTCGAAGCAGTTTCATGGTGTCAAATGAATGCTTGGGAAGCTCGCTGCAGTACCCGCGCTCCAGCACGGAGCAAATGATTGGCATCTTCTATTTTTAGACTGCTCGCCCGACTGGCAAGCTTGCATTCCACTGACGTCACGGCACTGAAAAGGGCGCGTATATTTGAACGTTGGCTTCTGCATCATTTTCATTTGCGATTTCACAATACCTATTATGAATTTCGCGATTCTAAATAGCATACCGGAGAGAGTGAAGGTCGGGGAGTCAGAAAATATAGATAGTTGAGGTAGCTCAAAAAATCGGTGGAGTACCCCTTTAATGCGGTAGAAGCGAGCAAGCGTTCGCACGCCCAAGAAGATAGCAACCCAAAAAGAGCTCCGAATCCATCCAGGAAATCCTTGTAAGTTTCGTTTAAAATTCGAGACATACTAATGCTCGAAAAAGTGACGGGAGGATATGAATCGTCCAACTAGAAAGACATTAAAATGTCTGCACCAATGCGAGTAGCCGGGAGTGTGTCCGGGGGAAGGGGGGGAGGAGGGAAAAGGGGGGGGGGGGGGGGGCGTAGCTTTGCCGAAATGCTTCCAACTGTTGTCGTGCTTTAAAAAACAGTTTGTGACGACCAAACTTATTCGCGTATACCGTTCCGCGTGTCCGCACTCTGCGCAGGCCCTGCGCAAGAGCATGGAGACGGTGTGCAAGTGCCACGGGGTGTCCGGCTCGTGCTCGGTGCGCGTGTGCTGGCGGCGGCTCAAGCCGTTCCGCGCCGTCGGCGACGCCCTGTCGGTCAAGTTCGACGGGGCCACGCACGTGCACATGACGCGGGCCGGGGCTGCCAAGTCCGGCAGCTCGAGGAAGAGGCGGCCTCGCCTCCGGCCCGTGCTCAGGGACGTCAAGAAGCCCGGCAAGAAGGACCTGGTCTACCTCGAGGAGTCGCCGGACTACTGCACCAGGAACGAAACGTGAGTCCGAGGATATGTATGCCATGGGATGAATACTGAACACTCTCAGACTCACAGCCGAGTCCACGCACGCAGTGAATACCATAGATAAAGACCATACGGGAGGAACACTGGACAAGCTCAGTCACGCTGCCCCTACATCATACAAAAGACAAGGTGTTTGCTGCGGCCATGGAGGTCGGAATCTTCTGGAGGCGACGCTGTGGAGAGGGACACGCCCCCAATAATGAGCTAAACCAAGAGACGTTATTGGAAGAAACGGAGTTGTTCGTCCAATAGCGTCCCTTGGTGGTGATCATCGTTGGGGGCGTGTCCCTCTCCACAGCGCCATATATCGACTCCAAAAGCTTCCGACCTCCATGGCTGCAGACAGTTTTTGTATCCCGACAAGACTGTCATACGAAGAAGAAACACGCTTCAGACAATGTCTGCATGCTGGCAGCCGCAGCTTTAGCCTGCGCACGACGCGAGAAATGGTGAGAAACACCACTGACGCATGGCGCTATATATCTTATACAGCGAAGATTTTATTTATGGTATTTTAACCACAAACTGGAGATTTGATCTATGACATTTAAACCATAATCATAAAAAAAAATTGAAACTAGAAAAAAAAATACTTTGTTGAGGGTTAAGAAAAGCAGGACAAGCTCATCTCTAAAAGCCCTCCACTTTAGCTGAGAAAATGCTGGAGAGGAGGCAAATGGACCGGACCTGCCTGCCCTGTCGCTTTCTCTCCAGCGTTGGCTCTGCTAAAGTGGAAAAAGGGGGTGGGGAGGGGGCTTTATGGGGGAAGCTTGACCTGTTTCAGTGTTTCTCTTTTATCGTCTCCCGACGAAATCACCCCTTTGGAGACCTGGGCAATCTTAACAATAAATACCGCGCTCGTTCACTAATGCCCGTGTCCCACTAGGGCGACAGACAGAAACAAAAGACAGCGACAAGCCTCAAACCCATGCAGCATGCTCGCGATGGTACCCTTGTCAGGCGTTTAGTCGTTCGGTGCTCGTGAAGTAAGCACGAGCGATTGCAAGCTTGCCTAAGATACCAGCGCGTGCATGACGCTCGTGTCTGGACATAGCCTCCTTTATTCTAGTGCCACTAAATAAGCTACGCTTCAGAGTAACGACACTCAGCCATATTGTGTCTTAAAATCATGGTTGTCAGTTATCTGAAGCTTTATCTGAAATCACAGGCAAGGCTTTTGCGCCCTCCACAACCGTTTAAACAGTTCGTGACAGAGCAAAGCAATATTGCCTTCCCTTCCTAACAGCGAATCTAACCCTGAGGAAGTCGATCTTTTGAATAATGACGATCGGCAGTTGCGTCTGCTCGGCATACGAGCCAAAATGGCGGCGCCCACAACAATGCTGAGGAACGGAGTGCCGATACTCTAAGCGCAGCTCATTTAGTGGCTCTACTTTATTCTACAAAGCCACTGAAATCGCAGAAGGCTCTGGTTTGAGGCTTGTCGCTGTCATTTGTTTCTGTCTGTCGCTCTAGTGGGACGCAGGAATTACAGGGACAAGAACATCCTTTATATACCACTTCAACTGAATGGGCCGGTCTAGGGGAGAAGGATGTTTTATACAGTTGACGAGGCCACGGCACATCTACAAGATCAATAATACAAAAATTAACGAAAGTAGAAAGGAAAAACACATGCACACTGTGCACTTTTATAGTGTCTCTCGTGTACTTTTTGTTGAGCAAAATATTATACATTCCAAAAGATAAGGTATTAGCCCAGGAACAGATTATAAGTGTGCTTGACAAATTTGGTGAATTCAGAGTCTGCCACTGAAGGTCATCTCATTTTGTGGCCCTGTTGTGACGCTTAATTGTGAAAAAGGCTGTTGGCACGGTTCGCTGGACGTCTCTGCGGCAAGTGTTTCTCGGTGGTCACTCTGCTAGAACGAGGCCCAAAGCAACGTCCTGTGTCTCTTTCTTTTCAGGCTAGCGGTTCTGGGAACGATGGGCAGGGCGTGCAACAACACGAGTTACGGCATGGACGGATGTCGCCTGCTCTGCTGCGGTCGCGGCTACCAGACCGTCGTGCGGGAAGTGGACGAGAAGTGCCACTGCAAGTTCGTCTGGTGCTGCAAGGTGCAGTGTCAGACCTGCAGAGTCACCAAGGAAGAGCACTTCTGCAAGTGAAGACGGGGCAGAACGTTCTTGACTGTTCAACCGGTGGGTTTATTTTATGCGGAGACCCGCTGGGCCGGGTTCACGATGAGCAAACGACTGTCCCTGTGAGAGTCGGGCGAACACAGTTAGGGGGCGCAGCTTGAAGAGGAAGGGAAGCTACGCGTACTAAGAGTACCGAGAAGAAGAGACAGGTTAGTGGCCAGCTGGACCAAATGAGACATTTTATCGTACGAGTCACTTTCGTCCCTACTAGAATGGATGTGCAATTGGCAGAACAATTAGGTCATTTAAAAAAAAAACATAAGCTACCAGGATTCAATATTTGTGTGTTTCCAAGGTACCCCATCAGGTCATTTTCTCGTAAACTTTTATTCCTGATGCTCAGTTGAGTTATTGAACTAAAGATTCGCAACAAGCAGGCTTTCAGTGATTACTGGTTCAAAAATATTAAGCTTCAAGAACTCGTAAAACGTCCCAGTACATAAAGAACAGCATTACTAATGATGTTACCTACGCGAGTAGTCGTTACGGTGTCTGAGTAGGGAAACGTGCCACGCTGAACGGTCAACGAATGATCGTCAACATTCCAAAGTGGGTTCGGATCCGATATGCGCTGAAAAGTTTGTGCAAAAACACTTGGGCCACAAGAAGCTATTGCGAGGAGTAGTTTCAGAATGATTTCACCCGTCTAAGAGACGCCATAGTCATTGTGTACAGAGACGACGAGGTTGAGAAGTACGGTGAGCCTCGCGACCACCCATCGCAAGAGGATACCAGGCAACGAGGACAGATGGTCACACAGACGCCAGACGAACAATGTGCTGTAATCCTCAGTCTCAGCATGCCAGCGCCGGCAAGTCGACGCACGGAACACCTGTGGTCATCGGACGAGTTCGCAAAATCCTTGCTGTCAGCAGAGCGCAACGGGTGTTGGAGTGTGCGGAGCCCTGAGCCGTGCCACGGACCTCTTCGGCAATGTGTTGTGTACATAGTAAGTTTTTTTTTTTTTTTTTTTTTTTTTTTTTGCCCGCAACCTTAAAGCAGAAGAAGCAACAATAACGCGAGGCAGAGAGACGTTCGCAGTGAGGACACTGCTGATCGATAAGTCCGCAAACAAAGCCACCAAGTGATTCAGAACACACCTTCGTTTATCGATGAGAAAGCGGAAGTAGGCGTAAGAAAAGACATTCCCAGTGAACTTTGCACTTTTTTTTTCTTTTTTTCTCTTGTTTGTGTCCCGCGTGGTCGTCGATATCTTGAGGCAGCACGGAAACGACAGCGTCGCCTCTTGTTTTGATAGGTCTACGTTTCGTCACCTGGCAACGGCTTCTGCAAGCGTGGATGCTTGGGGTCGTCTGCAATTGTGTCGGGGCAATATTTCCCAGGGAAATCATAAACTGCAGGGTTTCTTTTTTTTTAAAGATTTTTTACTAACTGTTGGTGTATTGGTTGCTATTCGCAAAGCGAGATTCACACACTTTTTGTGAGCGTGTCACTATTCATCCCCAACTAGTTCTGAAAGAGCAAACTGTCGCTGCTTTACTGTCTTTACTTCAAGGGAAGAAAAAAAAAAAACTTTGACATTGATACGATCGCACTGGTAGGTATACTGAAGTAGCGTTAACAATAAGAACGGAATGGAAATTCATCCTCGATATAGTTTACTTTTGAGTCCTGAGCGATCCTCGTGTAAACAGAAAAGCTATTTTTCTTTATTTATTTCTCCTTTGGCGTCATTTCCACTTGGGGTTTCATACTCATACAATAACTGCGCGAAAATCACGCCTGAGCTGGGCTGTTTTAAGTAGGTGACTGCAGTTTTCTTCTTTATTTTTTTATTTTTTTATTCTAAAGCCCAGAAACAGAGGATCTGAAGCAAGTTTTTAAAAAGCTGCAAGGAAACTATTTTATTTGTGACCGTAGAAAAAAAGAACAGCAGTAGTTTCAGTTTGAGCCTGTGTAGCGAGGCAGGCAGCTGTGTCATCGTCCACCCTGCAAACCTAGGCAGCGCCATTTTGAATTACGCTTCCCTATTAAAAAGAAAAACCATATTCACCCATACGATCGATATCGCCCATTACCATTATAAGACAACCACATGACATATATGCATTTTTTCTAGACGAAAAACGGACAGGTAAGTTCGATGATTGACCACGGTTGTCTCTCAAACTTTTCCTGTCTGATGGCACATACATGGTGTTGTTTTCTTCCGTCTGCTTTTAATAGATTTACAATCAGCAATATTTTAATGGAATAGATGCGGCGCACAGCACCGACAATATTTATTTAATGATTATAATATGTGTATAAGGTAAGGCAGATTGTATTAAAACCGTTAAAATCGTGAATTCCGCCCATGAAACTACATAATTGTCAGGCTTTTTTTTTTCTTCAGATGGGTCCTTCGTTTGGTATTTGGGATATGGGTCGTATGGGTGCATATTGTTTTCTGTTTCGTTTTTAGTAGGGTTGCCCTTCTCGACGGCTGGGGTGAACCCCCGGCCGTGTTCCAAAACGTAATCTAGGAGCTACGACTCTCAGTTGTTTCATCTACAACCGACATGCCACCCACCGAGGTTTAATAAAGTTCGCACAGCACGTCGTATACGGTAGTGTCCGAAGTTTGGCTCTTTTTCTTTCAGCCTGGCAACATGAGCAGACGACGCTCTCGCTCGCTCGGATTGGCGAGAGACAGGGGCAGACAGCCTTTGCTTCTACCCACTAATCCTTCCAATCAGAGCACGGCGCCCTGACGTCACCGCAAGGTCTCATTTCCTTCTCTCCCTCTGTTTTTCTCCGCATAATCAACGACAGGGTGAGGAAGGCAGGAAGCCTCTTCCCGATACCCGGCCTTCAACGCGCGCATTGCGCGAGTGCGTGCAAAAGTCAAGAGCGTGCCGTAATCAGTTTCTAGAACGGCGGAACTACTGCGCGTGCTCGATGGCCGCCTGTTAAGCCAAATTATAGCCTTCTATATACTGACAAAGTCTGGCAGATCGCCACGAGAAGCGACCGCCGAAATGGAAAAGGTGGAGCGGCAGACAACGGATGAGAGGAGAGCCACGTGACTGGCGCCCCGCTGCGGCGAGACGGCGAAACACACTTCTCCTGAGCGAAGAAGTGTGTTTCGGGTCCTCGCCGCTGCAAAAGCTGTGCGCTGACGTCCAGGTTCCCCAAGAAATGGCTCTTTGATGCTCTGCGCTACCAGACCCTCGCGCTCCAAATCTGCGACCCGGCACTCTGTGGCTCCGTCGTCAAACTGCCAGGTTTTGTGAGTATAGAGGAGGCAATGGCCCAATAGAGAGTATTCACTGGACGCCATATTTGTGGGTGCTGTTTAGAGCGCATGCTCAGAATCAGCTCACATCAGTAGGCTGCTACGACCGGCACTGTTGATGGTGCGGAATGCAGGTTGCAAAAGAACTGTGGAAGCTCGCTCTCAGCACGCGCTCAGCATTCGTGCTCACAGCTATGGCCGCGAGTGAATACTCCCTATAAACTTTTCGCCGAATTACCCAAGCATCCGAAATAATGTTGGCAACGCAGGAACACGCGCTGCGCGTGCTGGCGTCTTCAGCTCGAACTTTTCCAATGCAAAAAGCTAAAACCAAATGGCACTTCGCACGCGCGTTCCGCGGACGCTTTATTGTGTTTATTTACTTCGAATATTTTCTATAGAGAAGGCGAGCATGTGCAGCGCGTGTACCTATGTTTTCAAGATTCTCTTTGATGCTTCAGTAATTTAGTGAAAGGTCTATGGGCGACGTGAGCGATCGAAAGCGTCGCAGCGGTCGGCCTGGATTGGTCGAATGCTGACTATGACGTCGGCAAAGGATTTCGCATCGACGGAAATAAGAGTAATCCTTATAAGTGCTTCAATTTTGACAATGCTGGCAATGTTAGTTTTAGAGCGCAGTGATTTCAAGCTTCTACCATGCTAATCACAAGCACCATCAAACTTGTTGTGCACAAAGTAATGACGTCAGGAGAACGAACCATAGGAGGGCGCCACCAAAACGATTGCAAGCAGAGCACCTGTGAGGGGCCGTGATTCATCTCACAAATGTTTACAGTAAAGACAGAGGCACACTAGCTCAACAGATTGTTTTCTTTTGTGCGAAAACTCGTGCGTGCGAGGCACTTTCTAAAGCCACGCTCTCGTGTCCATGCCTATGTCTGCACTGCAGGTGTTTAGTCCCACTAGAGTGACAAACAGAAACAACCGACACCGACAAGCCTAAAGCACGTGCATTGTGTACGCGAACTTGGTGGGCTTGCAATCACTATACTCCGTTTGACCTTATGTCGTACTGCAGCGAAGGCTAGAAGCGCGAGCTCATAGCGTTGGCAGCTGCCCTTGGTGCACGAGAGCTTGTGCCGCCGAGATGTGCCCTAGAGCAAAGAGCTCGCGCTTGTAGCCTGTCCTGCGGTACAACCACGGTGGGTACAACACAAGGTGAAACAGAGTATAGTGCTTACTTCAAGAGAAACTGCGAGCTAAGGTAAGTTCGGGCATTGGTATGTACACTCGGGCATTAGTAGGTATTAGCCCCGTGCGCGACCGAAAGCGTCGCTGTGGTCGGCCGTCCACGATCGGCCGAACGCTGATAATGACGTAGAAAAGGGGATTTATCATCGACGGAAATAAAAGGAATGAAAGAACTTTAATTTTGACGGTGTTGGCAGTGTTGCTTTGAGAGCGCAATGATTTCAGGCTTCCACCATGCTATTTACAAACACCATCGGACTTGTTGTTTGCAAGGTAATGACGTCACAAGCGGGAACCATAGGAGGGCGCCACCAAAACATCTCGCCGCTAATTTGGTGGAAGCCTGAAATCATTGCGCTCTCAAAGCAACACTGCCAACACCGTCGGAATTAAAGTTCTTTCATTCCTCTTATTTCCGTCGATGGTTTACCCTTTCCGACGTCATAGTCAGCTTTTGGGCCAATCGTGAAGGCCGACCACTGCGACGCTTTCGGTCGCGCACGTCGCCAATACAGTGCCAGTGTGCTCGTCTCTACTTTTTGCAACAGTCTGTTGCTTTCGATGGTGTTACGGCAGGCTGCCGAGTTCACGAAACATCAAGCACATGATTATATTGTAAATTATGCAAAGCTGCGAGCGAGCTGGACAAGAATGACGATAATCTCTGGAAAAGGTGAACAAGAGGGGTAACAAGAGAAGAGGACCAGGCGGATTTTTTAGGTCGTGCACCAGTCATCTGTGTTTGGAGATTTGCGTTTGTCCTTTACCCGCTTTGTTTCCCTTCTCCAGGGATTATTCTTGTCCAGCTCGCTTGCACCTTTGCATTAATCGCATTATAATCATAAGCTTAAAATGCAGACCGTTCACTCTTGTTGTCAGACTGGTGGCAGCTGATAAAAGCCGTTTGCTCTACTGACGTCTCACTCCTGGTTAGCTTATGGCCTATTCGTCTGGGGCACACCGCACCCGTCCAGTGCAGTAAACTCTTTCCACTTTAGTACACGAAAGGCTGGCAGGCAGAGAAGGAAGCTCCCCTCTCCCCTCTAGCCTTCCGTGTACCACGAACCGCACCGCACCAGTGCGATGCGGGTCCAGACGAGTTGGCCATTAGTTGGTAGAGCGCTCCACTGGAAATGGAGAGGTCCCTGGTTCGATACCAGGACCAGGCGGATTTTTTTGGCCGCGCACCAGACCTAGTTGTGTTTGAAGATTTGTGTTCGTCCTTTGTCCCCCTTGTTCCCCTTCTCCACGGATTACTATCATCATTCTTGTCCAGCTCGCTTGCACCTTTGCATTACGACATATGGCGTCCAGTGAATACCCCGTATACTTTGGTTCATACTTAGTGTACAATGCTGTCAAGGGTGCTGGCGTAAGAATGGCCTTTGACCACACATATCGTTTGCACGCGTCCTCGCGCAAACGAAACCGGAGATGAAGCCACGCTCTCGTGCTAGTAACTTTGACAGCGCTGTACAGATCGCGACACTGTTAGCGCGAACACGACACCGGCGCATTTTCGCATTGTACTTCTAAATAGTATTAGCGAGCACGAAATTTTACTGCTTACATTATAGAAGTAAATGAGCTCTTTCCGCAGCAATAATAACTCGGATGACATCCCTTGGTTTCGAAAAGAAAAACTGGAAAAAACCGGCGATCGCTTGTTCGCGCTAACAGTGTCACGCTCTGTACATTAAGTATGAAACGAAGTGTAATGGCCACTCATACAGAAGCGTTTGACTACGCCTGATCATAGACGATTGCAAGTATGGAGGCCATACTGTGCGTGCGGGTAGCATTGGCAAGCTCGCAATTGCGCGTGCTTGCCCACACGAGCAGGAACATGGCGGCCGCGGCCACCGCCATGTCCCTGCCCGTGCGGAAGAGCCCGTGCAATTTCAGTTCTTACCAAAGCTATGTACACGCGCGAGCTGCACATGCTCGCATTCGCGAGGCACCCGTCGGTGCGGCGTGCTTGCAATTGTATCTAAGTCGCAGGGGCTACTTTGCTGTAAACGTTGCGCAGTGACGGAAACAGCGTTTGACCATTTTGGATCAGGTTCTGTAGCCGGCCAAAAATCTTTGGTCTGGAGCTGCCACTGACGTTACGGATGCCAAAATTTGTTACCGCATCGTTAAACGAGTCTACCTTTCATATTAGGGAGTTATAGTATGTCGTTTTTCCTCCTCCGCTGCGGTATCCGCA